GATGATCCTGGGTCGGAGGAGAGCAAAAACCAGAGTTAGACTTACTGGTAACGATTTCCAATAGTCTTTCAGGGCAGCCGATGAGATATAGAGCTCCTCCCCCAGAACAGGAAAACACATTGCCAGATTAGGCAATTAAAAGGTGGTAATCCAGGCACACACACACTTCAGCTTATATAAGAGGACTAAAGGACACACCGAAAAAACAAAAAACAAAAAACGAAAAAAAAAAAAAAAAAAAAAAAAAAAAAAAAAAAAAAAAATCACACCCCATAAAACAAACAAGACTGGAACTCGAATGTCCTGGAAGACTACTAGAAATAGTTACTGTTAAATCTTACTCTGGTTTTTCCCAGTCTTCCAGGACAACCTCAGATGATATCCGAAAACATTCCATATAGGGTGGGACCACTGCTTGAAGGACTTTAAAGTTCGGGATCAGACTTTTCGGCATAAACGGGTTTAACTGATAGTGGCAAATGTTGAAAAAAACTTGACTAAGTGGCTACCTTGCAGGCTTGCTCTAGGGGGAATTTCTTGTGTTCTATAAAATGTTAATCTTTAGGAAGATTTCAGTATCTTAAAGATGGTTACAGGATTTCTCCCAGACTTAAAAAGGGCTCCGATACACAGGGCTTGAAACTCACTTATTCTGCAGGAAGAAGTAATGGCAATTAAGAAATGCCACGGTGGTCACTGTGGAGACACTGTGAAAATCTGGAAATGTTGACCTTGTGGAAAACCTTTAAGGGCTCTGCCAACCACACACAGTTCTCTCTAATTTTAGGGTTTTCTATTTCTTCCACTGACATTGGGCAATTTCCTGCCCAAAGCGTGCACCCCAACAGCTGGTGTCCATAGTCATTCTCTTGGAAATGGACCATCTCCAAAGCAGACCTGTTGGCAGCCATTTGTTTTTCCACCACCATTGAGTGTTTCACTCTGGCCAGTATATACACCAATTTGTCCAAGAATCCGTGTGCCCTCTCTGCATGTTCTAAAAAATGCTGCAGGGGTCTTCGCTGAAAACAAGCCCAGGGAAATGCTGGAAAACTCACTGTCATGAGGCCCAAGGCCAACATCACTGCTATCATAGAAGCCTGCAGGCTGCATTAAAGACACAAATGTAGAGAGTTGATCTTTAGAATTTTTTCTGCAGGAAGAATATCCTGTGGCTTTTTTGAGTCCAGAATGTAGTCTAGAAAAAGGATCACCTGAGACAGTTTTCGACTTGCTGACCCATATCAGCCAGCCAAGTTTCATTGGCCTCTGTTGAGTGGACTGAATATTTCCCCTTAGCTGCCACCCTGAAGAAGCTCATAGGAGCAAATCTTCCAAATATGGAATAATTGTAATCTCCTGTAATCTCTGTTGAACTAATGTTTCTGCCAACACCATAGAAAACAATTCTGGGGAATAGAAAATCCAAAAAGGGAAGGGCTCTGCACGAACAGTGATAAATTATTTAACCCATCTTGAAGGCCAGATGTAAAAATTTCTGTGTTGTATCTTTATCAGAACATGCAGATAAAGTTAGGACCATATATTCGGATATAGGCACAATTTTAGTTCTTTTTCAGGTATTTACCAAAACCATATTCAAGCTATAGTTATATTATGGATATGGGCTGAAAGAGTGCACACTTCAATTTGGATGTACATACCCTCAAATTAAACCGGAGGAAGGGTTTAGGAATTACAGTACACTTCTTGTATTCCGCTTGAAACATGACATCCTCCCTCAAATTAGTATTTAAAAAAAGTTTCCAAGACATTGCATCTCCTCACAGAAGACTGGGAAAAGTAAGCGTACTCCTGCAGGGGTGTGGAAATTTTTGAAAGAAAACTACTCATCCAGGGACTAAAATCGGGGTCCCAATCTTCTCGTCCCTCATGACAATCTACTCGTCTAGATAATAAAAAAATAAATCTGAACCAAAATTGTACTTAAATCTGAGGTGCTTTTAGGAATGTCTGGAGCTTTTAAACATTTAAGTCGCTATAAAAAGTCCCTCTTTTTTTTTTTTTTAATTATTTTTAACATTGCGCTGTTTATCTCCTCCTCGCCTGTCTCCAGCTCTGCACCCGGGGACTAGCAGGGAGGGGGGAGACCTTTAAGTGTAATCGGTACTCGTCAGGAAAGGTGTCAGGCTTATCCTTTATCCCTTCTGCTACTAGGGCCTTTTAAGTATTTTGCACAAGTTTAAAAAATTATTTTCAGAGTGAAGATTACAAAAAAACCTCCAAAACATTATATATTTTCTGAAAGCAGAGACTCTAGAGAATAAAATAGTGGTAGTTCCAATTTAATAAGATATTACCACAAAGGTCTAGGAAACACAAAATTTCAGTAAAAAATACACTTAAATTTAGGGTACAAAACAGCAAAAAAAATTACCCATTTTCTTTTGGTAACGTATAAAAGATGAAGTTGCACCAAGTAAACAAATATCCAACATGTCAGAAATTTGGGTGCGCTCGTGAAATGGCGACATAGTACCCTATATATTCTATAGGTGACGCTTTTAAAGCCCCTTATAGGTCATCAGTTTAGCATTACAGAGGTCTGGTGCTAGCATTAATCGCTCTCACTTTGGCGTGCATGACAATACACGTGTTTCCCAATTGCCGCTTTCATGCGTAGGTGTCCCCCGGCGTGTGCTTTTACGTTTGTATGTGCGTATATGTGGCATTGGGGTTCTGTGCTTGTGTGTGAATTTTTTTACAATTAAAAAAAAAAAATAAATAACATTTTTTTTTTTAACTTCATCATGTGATGATTTCTGTGACAGATTCTTTTTATTGATACATTCAGGGTCTAAAAGACCTTGGCTGTCTCCTCTGTACTCCACTAGATGTAATGCAGTGCACATCACACTGTATTACATTTCCTGATTTCGAAGGCCGGAAATCTGTCAACGGGGACCCGGAAGTGACATAACGCCACTTCCAGGTCAGGGCAAGAGGAGGGGAGCGGACGTGTACGCTCTCCTCCATCCCCTCTATACTCTGGCACCCGCTGAACTGGTCCCGAGGAGGTTGGCACTGTGGGCTGTGTGGAAGCAATCAGCAGCAGCGCTGCCGCCCAAATGCTTGCACCTGACAAGTGAGCCCTGCTTCTTGCCCACAGCAGGGCTAAAGGTTTAAAAAAAAAAAAAAAGAAAAACTACCTGCCGGTGCCCGGAACTACATGTCCCGGAAATCGGGTGATACAACTAAACATCCCTGTCCTGTGACCCTGAAGAGAAGTACAGCTAAAAAAAGCTTTGGCCATACTTCCCTCAACTTGACTGAAAAAAAAACAAAAAACACTGATCTGTCAAAACAACTACAACAAGATACATTGTAACAATATTGATACAATGAATAAGGAATGTAACAGTTGTTACACTCAAACAGGAACCATTGATTGCACTGCTCCAACACGGAATAGCACTGGACTGTAAAATCCACAGCTGGGTGCCAGTAATTACAAGTTTGGGGAGCTGCAATGTTCACTGAATAATGGTGGTACATAATAGGCTGTATTGCACCCATTTCATTTTTGGGAAAAGTATACAACTCTTACACAGGAGCATAGCTTTGTTTATTTGGTGTAAAAGACAGATTAAACTATTTCAAGCAGGAGCTTACCAAATTACGTTATTGATATGACATGGCTGTGGTATCTTTATTCCATATGAATAACTAAACTACGATTAACTTTTATTCAATCAAGAAATCTATTATAGCACTAGAAAGCTTCCAAACTGAAACACCTAAATTCAATGATTTGGAGGGTTATCCCAATACTTTTGGCAATAGTGTATTTTCTGCCTTTTGTTTCCAATCACCTCTACGGCCACAGGTGTATAAAATCAAGCACCTAGACATGCAGACTACTTCTACAGACATTTGTGAAAGAATGGGTCGCTTTCAGCTCAGTGAATTCAAGCGTGGTGTGATAGGTTACCACCTCTGCAAAAAGTCCATCCGTGAAATTTCCTTGCTACTAAACTGTCAACTGTTAGTGGTATTATAACAAAGTGGAAGCAACTGGGAACAGCAACTCAGCCACAAAGTGGTAGACCATGTAAAATGACAGTGTGGTCAACGCGCAGAAGTCGCCAAAGGTCTGCAATAGCTATAAGACCTCCAAACTTTGCGTGGCCTTCAGATTAGCACAACAGTGCGTAGAGAGCTTTATTGAATGGGTGTCCATGGCCAAGCAGCTGCATCCAAGCCTTACATTTGCAGTACAATGCAAAGAGTCAGATGTTGCCACTGCAATCTAGAACAGTGGAGACGTCCATTGGATTGCCAGAGAGGCGTGATTCATCACTCCAGAGAACAGGTGTCCGGGTTTAACTGTTTCCAGAACAGTACTTGCCTGACTGCAAGTGTAAAGTTTGGTTGTTGGGGGGGTGGAGAGAAGATTATGGTGTGGGGTTGAGCTTGGCACCTTAGTTCAACTGAAGGGAACTCTTAAGGCGTCAGTATACTAGGACATTTTGGACAATTTCATGCTCCCAACTTTGTGGGAACAGTTTGGGGATGGCCCCTCCCTGTTCAAACATGACAGAACACCAATGCACAAAGCAAGGTCCATAAAGACATGGATGAGTTTGGGGTGGAGGAACTTGACTGGCCTGCACAGAGTCCTAAACTCAACCAGATAGAACACCTTTGGGATGAATTAGAGTTGAAACTGAACTGGGCCTTCTCGTCCATCATTAGTGCCTGACCTCACAAATGCGCTTCTGGAAGAATGGTCAAAATTCCCATAAACACTCCTAAACCTTGTGGACAGCCTTCCCAGAAGAGTTGAAGCTGTTATAGCTGCAAACTCAATACTGAACCCTACGGACTAAGACTGGGATGCCATTAAAGTTAATGTGCGTGTAAAGGCGAGCGTCCCAATACTTTTGGCAATATAGTGCACATTCCTTTAAGTAATTCAGACTATAAATTACACAAAACCTTAATATTTAAGAAAAAGGCAAACAAAAAGTATAACATACCTGCATTCCTTCCTGCCCAGAAATTCCAACACCAACATCTGCCACCTGAATCATGCTGACATCGTTGGTCCCATCTCCTGTAAAATCACATAATACACGCTATATTATATGAAACTTAAAAAAAAATAAATAAATAAAAGGGTGACCCCTTAAATAGGCATTTAACCTTACTATTATAGGTAAATATGATGTATGTAGTATATTGCAGCTTACTAATGGTTAGATGTGATGGCTTCAATAGTATTTTCGTATGCTTTTTTTTCCCCTCTGCTTTCACTTGGTGATCTTACCAATAACATACTTCCTTCATTAAAAAGTGTCCCCACTCTGAATGTCAGAACAAAGAGTCAACTTTGGACAGCAGCACTGTTAACCCGGGTGACGCGAGTGTTAGATGCACTAGCATATTTAGATACACTAACAGAATGAACCAAACTCAAACTCTCACTGCAGCTACAGCACAAATTTTTTAGGCTAAAAAGGTTTTACATAAACAATCTGATCACTGTCGGTGGTAAATGATTTGTCTCAACACCGATGCATTTGCAGGAGAGCTTGTTCTGTTGAAAAACCAGCCTTACAAGGCTGCATCACTAGGTGAAAAAGAGAAAAGAAAGCCTGTGGGCTGCACAGTGGCTAAATGGTTAGCACTTCTGCCTGGCAGTACTAGGGTCATTGGTTCGAATCCCAACCATGGCACCACCTGCCTGGTGTTTGCATGTTCTCCCTGTGCCTGCATGGGTTTCCTCCGGGTAAACCGTTTCCTTCCACACTCCAAAAGACATGCTGGTAGGTTAATTCTATCCTGTCTAAATTGGCCCTAGTATGTGTGTGTATGTATGAATGTAAGTCAGGGAAATTAGATTGTACGCCCCTTGAGGGTTAGGGACTGGTGTGAATGTACAATATATATGTAAGTGCTGTGTAAATTATATAAAGAAAAAAAAACCCATAATGCAGCCATTAGAAAATCTTTACTTTTGGTTTTAAAACTACTTTAAGGACTCGTTCACACCCGATGCATTGTGACTGCACTGGGGAAAGTTTCCTTGCAAAGTGAACAGCCTATAGTAAATCATTGTCTGTTATTTACTGTCATATAGCAAAGGGTTGACAAAACTTGCCAGGTACTTCAAAAGTCATTTTAGGAAATATAAAGTACTTATTGCAGTAATTTGGAAGTGAAGAATATTTGAAACATGGCCCAAAACAGGAACTTAGTTTTCTTTTTCTTTTTTTCAATTATATGTATAGGTTCCTAGTAACAGTTAACATTGCATCAGGGTAAAAATGGCAAACAACAACAATTATCAGATTATGCATATTTAATCACTTCCGTCCAGCCCATGTATATAAAAATGGCCGGACGGGGAACAGTGCAGGGGCGGGTGGCCGTTTATAAACGGCATCCTCGCCCCCTGCTTGCGCATGCTCCCTGGGAGCGCGCAGCATCGCAATCCGGCGCCCCCGCTGTGTCTGTACGGGACCTCAGTGATCACATGAAGAGTAGTAAGCAAGATGTCACTTCTCACATCATTGCATACTACATGTGAAATCTGAATGATCACAGAGGTCACACGGTACAAGGCTATTCACAACCGCCTTGTACCATGTGACAAGCTGTGATCAATCACAGCTCGCACAGGATTTCTCAATGGCTGCAAGAATGCAGCTAGAGAGAAGGAGAAATTATTGCTTTTACAGCCTTTATGGGTGTAAAAAAAAAAAAAAAAAAAAAAATCTTCATATGGGTACAGTGTTGCATGACCGCGCAATTATCAAAGTGTGATAGCGCTGAAAGCTGAAAATTGGCCTGGACAGGAAGGGGGTAAAAGTGTCCGGACTTGAAGTGGTTAAATTGCAAGCTTACGCTATATAGATGAGCTGTTCCTGGATGGTAATGAATTTTATTTCACGGGTGCTATGTGGTCTGAAAATCCTACAGAAAAATGTGTAGACAAGCTTTATTTTCCACAAATCCAAAACATGCCTGACCTTAGTGAAGCTTTTCACTAAACAGAATGAATACAACCCAATAAAGATTTAAAGTGATAGTAAACTCGTTTTCTTTTTATACCTACAGGTAAGTGTATAAGAAAAAACTTACCTGTAGGTAAAATGAATATCTCCTAAACATTAGCCGTGGGAGATATTCTACAGAGCAGCAGCCAGTGACATCGCCGACATATGCACTCTGCAGGAACGGCATACCCGTGCCGTTCCTGCAGAGCACTGTGCCAGGGCTGAAACGTTTCCATTCTTGGAATACGCTCATATGTTATGAGGGTTAACACAAGGGCTGGCACATACCCAAGTACAGCCAATTGTGCCAGTGCTCTAGAATCCTTAATTTGAGAATCTATAACCACCATGAAGACTCCACAGTACAGTGGTTACTGTTATAAAAACTGCAACCCAAACAACATCTGTATACGCCGTAAAAATGAAAGAAAAAAAATTGACAAACAGCTTACCTACTGATAGTGTCATAGCTTTGAGTTTGTCCCGAACAAGTTTCACCACCATACTCTTCTGAAGGGGTGTAGAGCGACAGCAGAGCACAGAGCGGCATTGCCGAGCAAGTGAAATAAATGTATCTGCTTGGGTTACATCTAGCGCAAAGGCTAATGTTTTGCCATCAATCACCAATCCAAGATTCTGTTTTGTCAGTGAAGACCATTGGTAGTTATTACGAGCGAAAGCAAAATCTACTTTCCCAGCAGCTTTTGTTGAGTCATTAGAAATCTTGGACTCTACATAGTGCAAACACTGTTTTAGCAAAGCAGCACAGGCTTCCTAAATGGAAAGCAGGGACAATGACAATTAATGGCAATTAAGAGGCAAAATATTTATAAGTAGTCTAGCATAAAAAAAAAAAAAGGCAATTTTTATTCTCCTGACAAGTACTGTATATATAAAATATTGCCATTCTCCTGCCTTAAGGGTGCTAAATAGACATCCAGTGGTTACTTACACCAGGTAATATTGTGTAAACCATGCTCTTCACAAAAGTCTAAAATGTTCCTACTCTATTCACCCAATGGTTAGCTGGATTATCCATACCTGGCAGACAACACAAAAATAACATCAAACAGTCGCAGCAAACAAAGGCTATGTACTGTATATTGCTACAATATCATGTCTCCAACAGAAGTCATTGTTTTGTTTAAACTGCAGAACAGAGTGTGTACTTAAGAGCTCTGTCTTCTACCATTGCCATTATATATTCACATTGAAAAGCACAACGCATAGCTATATTCTGTTATATCTGAATATAACAACATGGACATAAAACAAGTCCAACATCTTAGCTACTATACAAAATTACTTGTCAGCAACTGCAGAAAAAAGATATTCTCTTGAAAATTGTTGCAAATTGGGTCTCCCCCAACCATTCCTACTAAAAACATAAGACATTTGAATTCATGATTCTTAAGCACACAGAATATATAATCGCATTCAGCAGTTGCAGTACTCCGTATTCACCTTTTCGAGTTTTCGTATTTTGGAAGTGTTGAGAAGGCAAAAAAGAGCATTAGCAATTAACAGATTTAAAAAAAAAAAAAAATTGTCATAACTATTGCTTTAGTATACAAATTGTTAAAGCAATTCCAAAGATTCATTTTTTTGGGCGGTGGGTGTAAATAACAAATATGTCTATACTTACCTGCTCTATGATGTGGTTTTGCACAGAGTAGCCTGGATCCTCCTCTTCTCAGGTCCCCCGCAGGCTCTCCTTCTGGTCAGGTGCCCCCCACAGCAAGCAGCTTGCTATGGGGCACCCGCTGCTCCGTCTGTCCATTCACACATTTAGCCCATGGCTTGGCCCCACCCCTCTCATTGGCTGACTGGCTGTGATTGACAGCAGAGGGAGCCCATGGCTCCCGCTTGCTGCCTCAGCCAATGAGGCAGAGACCCGGGACAGCCAAGGCTGTCGTTCACATTGCTGGATCGCAATAAGGCTCAGGTAAGTATTGAAGGGACTGTGAGGAACTGCTGTAAACAGGTTTGTTTTTTTTTACCTTCATGCATAGAATGCATGAAGGTAAAAAACCTTGAATGTTTACAACCACTTTAAATTAAGGGTTTAACTTTTCAGATACCCTTTTAAAAAGTGCTCATTGCAGAGGACCATATTTATTTTGCCCCCTACATATATTTAAATGGGAATTAAATATATATATATTTTTTTAAATATATATGCTTGCTACAGCACTTGCTTGTATGTGCAGTTGCATTTATAGTTCTCAGTACCCTGAAAAAGTCGCAGTTATACCGGTTTATCCTGCCAATAAAGTGCCCCCTATAGCAGCTTCCGGCAATTTGTGGCAACAATGCTGCACTGCGCCTGAATAGTAGCATTGCCACCCTCATGTAGTCTGTTCCTGCTTGCACTACAGAAAAAAAAAAAAAAAAAGTTGCAGGAGATGTGGCTATCAGTATTACCACTGCTAATTCACAAGCCCGTAGCTTGTCAGTCAGCACTTGGCCAATTATTATTGAGCTAAAGAGGATAGTCTATCCCAGCTTTTTTTCAACCACTGTGCCGCGGCACACTAGTGTGCCGTGAGATATTGTCTGGTGTGCCATGGGAAAAATTGCAATTTCATCCGTAACATGTGGCCTCGGCTCACAAATAGACCAATCATTAGAACAGCAATGGCCGTATACGGCCCGGCGGACCTTTTAATCCGGCCCGCGGAGCGTGATACTGTCAGGATGATCTGTCCCCCTCAACGTATCTGCGCATGTGCCGGAGATTGCCGATCGGCTGCTAATGCCTGAAACTGGCACATGCGCAGATACGTCGAGGGGGACAGATCCTCATAGGTGACAGATTTTCATGCTACACCGGAATGGCGAGAGGAACGCGCGGAGCAAAGGTAAGTGAATTGACACAGGGGGGGCTTAAGGACTTAATATGGGGGATGATTTACTATATGGGGGATGAATTACTATACGGGGGATGAATTACTATACGGGGGATGAATTACTATATGGGGGATTAATTACTATGCTTACTATGGGGGAATATTACTATACTTACTATGGATGACACATACACATCATTCATCTACTCTTGGTCCGGCCCCCGGGTCCAATATATGAACCCATTGCGGCCCTCAAGTCAAAAAGTTTTTCAATAAATTTTTTTAACATTTTCTAATGGTGGTGTGCCTCGTGATTTTTTTCATGAAAAAAGTGTGCCTTTGCACAAAAAAGGTTGAAAAACACTGGTCTATCCTCTGTAGAAAACTTAAAGTGCACCAATATTTGGATGTAGCAATCAGACAGCTTAAAAAGACTTTAAAGGTGTTCATTAATGAAGCAAAGGAAGGAAAGGAAAGGATTGACCGTGACTTATAAAGCTGACTGTCACCTACAGTCTATACAATACTACAAAGGCAGAATAGGTATGCATTTCCACTAGGACCACTACTACTGGTATTATTAGTATACAAAAGAAGCCCATGAATGCTCAAAAGAGGCCCATGAATGCTCATCAGTGTGAGAAAACAGTTTCAGGTGGACTGCCCTGCATGCCAAACTCTAGTAAATACTTTTTCTTTGTAGCAAGCAATGCAGAGTAACCCAGGAACAAAAAGGAAGGGTGGCCTTGGTCCTGTACCGTACACTCCAAGATATTGAATTTAAAGGAAAATTAGACTTAACATGACTGTGAAGCTTCAATTTTATATTTTCCTGGTTTGTGCAATGGTTTTGCACAGAGTGGCCCCAAACCTCCTCATCTTGGGTCCCCCACTGGCACCCTTTGTTCTTCCTCTTCTTGGTGCACCCCATGGGAAGCTGCGTCCTATGGAGCTCTACCTGCATCCCATAGACAGACATCACGGCTCGGCCCTGCTCACAGAATTTGATTGAGAGCAACTGGAGGAGCTGCTGGCTCTGTGAGCAGAGAGACAGCAGAGAACCACTGCAGACAAAACACCACACTGGCTCGAGAAAAGGCATGTATAAAAAGGAGAGTTGAGGGGGCAATACAGATACAGGGACATTTTAACCTTAATGCAAGGAAAGCATTGCCGTAAAAAATGTCCAGCTTTTACAACCACTTTATTATGACATAAATTACTCCCACCGACACTAACAATGGGGAAACATTTCCCCCAGGGACACCAGTGATGGGGCACTTGTCCTCACACTGGAACCAGCCATGGGGCACTATTCCTCCAACTAACCACAGGTGCAATGCTAATTTTTTCACTTCCACCGAATTGGACTCAAAACAATATAGGCCTAAAGGCTCAAACATTGATATCAAAGTCCTACTTGTATATAAGTCAATATATCCCACAGGAAAAAAAAAAAAAAAAAGTTTTGTTCCTTAATTTTGATTTTTTCTTGTTTAAGGTTATTGTTTAAGTCCATAATTTAGGCTTTGTTTTTTGTTGAGCATGTTTTAACCCAATGACCATGGCATTAAATTACTCTCACTGATGCTGGAGTATTTACTACTCCCACGGATACGGTCTGCCTCTTCCCCCCCCCAGGGGAGGAAGGACAGTAAACAGGCCCTTTAATTAGAAAGTTAGGAGACCCTGCTCTAAGGTAAACACAGGCTAAAGTGCAAAGTAAATATAGATCACTTTACATAAGGAATATCTATCTATAGCCACATATAAATTGGGGTGGTTGCCATTCTTATATAGCCTGTTCAGATTTTGCCAGATGAGATGCACTGCTGTTGTGACCCTTGCCTGCAGCTATAACTAAGTGAATCAGCAGCACAGGACAGGTGGATAAGTTTGTAAGGCTACATCCATTCCACTTTTGGACAAGGGTTTACATATTAGTAACTGGCCTTCACTTTTAAAAATATTGTAACTGCTTTTAGCCCTACAATGTTAAACATTCCTCCAGACACAAGCAAGTCATACCATAGATTCTGCATTTAATGTGATGATGTCATCATCGTGATCCAGAAGCTTGCAAGAATATCCTATATTTACAGCTGTTTCCTGCTTGTCTCCAGTCAGAACCCAGATTTGCATTCCAGCCTTGCGCAGTCTAGTAATTGTCTCTGGAACACCTTCCTGTAAGCGGTCTTCTATACCTGTAGCACCTGGAAAGGACAGAGATTGATAATTTTACATATTAAAGCATCCTTAAAACTGGTAGAAAGCTACAGAACCTGCAGCTCCCCATTTTATTTCTCCGGATACAGATAGTCACGTCATTAGATTTCGCCTGTCATCTGTGTTGAACCTGAGCTTGCAGCTCATCCAGAAACAATGATAATATACTCAGCTCCAGGCAGTGCAAGAAAAATATTCATTAGATTCAGGTTTTTTGACATGTATATAGTTATGTTTATTTTACACTTTTAATTTTTTCTGTGCTAGGCATTCCATTTACACTTCTTAATGTATTGCCTTTGTATTAGAATGGATCTTGTAGTGAAGAATATAAAATATAAAAGTAACCATATTTGAGGGGACTATAGGGAACACAAATATAGGCTGTAAGGACACAGTGATCTCCAGCACTCAAATGCAACATATGCCCAGTTCTCTGACTGCAATTATTGCATTGTTTTCAAATCACACCTGCAGCATATCTGCAGGGTTTGACCATCTCTCGTCAACACATCCCTTCTGTGCCCTGTAGAAGTGCTTGGGCGGCTGTAGAGCCAATCAATCACGTCTACAATAAAGTTAATCGCTGGCTGAAAATATTGGTATTGGGACCCTGGCTGCAGCCATGATCCTGGAACAACTACTTCAGCCTGAGGACATACAGGTACATCCTAAGGAAGTGAAGTCTTATACGTTTTTCACAACAACCCTAAAAGCTTCACTTTATTGAGAATTGACATTAGCTGCAAGAAATCATTTTTGCCTCTAAGGGATTTGTGGACAACAGGGTTCCTGAAGGATATAAAATGATCACAAATGCTTACATTCTACAGTACATTGTGTGCACCAAACACCTCTGCAAATCCTGTTATTGCCTTATAAAAAGTAGCAGTGACTTCATCACTATGATGTACATAGTACGTACAGAAAGCAGAGCTGTGAATAGGACCCAGCAGGCAGAGCCCACTGCAAGCTGCTTGCAGAAAACTGCAGGAGTTGGTTAAAAAGACCAGTCACTTTGCACAAGGACACAGAGCAGCAGTGACTGGTCTCTATTACAGGGAAACTCCTGAAGACAGGCAAAGCTTTTATACTAGATTATTGAACAGCTCTGGAAGAACAAAAACACATGATTCAAGAAAAACATTTATCTCGCAGTTCAGCTTTAAGGAAAGGCAGAAAATACATCTTAGATTCTTCCATCTAATATAGCACAAGATGCCCCGCCTCACAGCAAGCCATACTTGACTAAAACAAGGACACACAGAGGCAACAGTGATTTATACTTTCAATTATACACTCACATCAAGGTAATGGCCAGGTCACTTTTGCTAGTGTCATAAATCTGAAACACTGTCAGTGTTTTATCAAGAGTATCTGTGCACATTAAATAGTTTTTCAGGCACCAGATGTTCATAATTAAATATTTTAACCATTACTTAAGATTAGGAAAACATCCTTTCTGCTTAAAACGATCACTAGCTAGTAATTACAGTACCATAGACTGTTCTGGCTATGACACGACAATCTCAGGACAATTACCTTAAAAGTGTCGGTTAATAGTCAGATATTACAGAAGGAAGCCAAGAGGAAGACACACTCCCATGGATTTAATTAGCAAATGTGGCTTGAGATGACTGTAATCAAAATATCTTTTGCTGAAGAGGCTTCTTGAATATTATCAGCTAACTGCAAAAGTATGTAGCCATGGAGCATCGTGCAGCCTCCTCCTATTCTGTGAAAGCAAGATTAATAAACTCACCCAGCAAATGTAGATTGGTCTCCAGACGGACCGCAGATTGGAACAGTAGCTCTTCACGGTTTTCTAATGAGGATTCTGCTTGTAAATGAAATTTCAGCCAACAAGAATACTCTTCTTTACTGAGAACCTAGAGCAGAAAGTCTTTTAAGAATGTGTTTTATTTATGGGGGTATAATCTTAAAGTAAACTGTACGTGTAGAATATACATTTTCTGTAAAACATTGTTGAAAAGAACAATTTGAACATGGATATTTACATTCTGTGATGTGCACATAAAATATTTGCATTTAGACATTGAGAATGACATCTGCCCTTGTAAAATGATGATTGTTTACAAGGCCCAGGTGAATCATCACATTACTTACAAGAGTAGCAAATAAATGAGAAGCTGCCAACATCATGCCTCATATCTGACAGCAAGTAACATAAGCAGACAAGTAAAAGGCCATGCCTGACTGCTGCAAACCAGAAATCAAAGTAAGGGGTGCTATCTGTGAGCGTGCCAAGATGGGAGTTGGATGGGGTACAAAGGACAAAATCAGAATGCAGTTTCACAAACACAAGAGATGTTAAATGTTTGACACTTAAACCTTTCACTGCCATCGACAAAGGGCATACGGCAGCACAGAACAGCTTCCAGCCAGGACAGTATGCCTTGCTATTCCTGATTAAATGGCTATGATCAGCAGTTGATAAGCCCCAGCTCTACAGATTCAGATCCTCCCCACTGGACATTAGCAAAGAGAATGGAGGACACAGAGGGGTGGTAAGGCTCTACTAATCTCCCCACCTGCAGCAGCAGGAGAAGCAAGCGCCTAGTGGGGATGATCCAGTGATAGGTGGGTACAGGCACACCACTTCATTCTGTTTCCCTTGTTGTCTCAGCTGTGCCCACTGATTTCCCTGCTCTCCCCCTGCTTGTAACAGAGAAGACAGTGAACTGTGCAGGGAAAAAGTGCAGGCAGATCCAGATGTTCAGGATGAGCTCGTGGATGATACTTATTTACTGATCCTTTGCCCATCTGAATGAACACTAAGATGATCAGTGTTCATCACCTGTTATTCATTCATACAGCCCTGGCCAAATGTTTTGAATTACACAAATATTGTGTTTCACAAACTCTGCTGCTTGTGTTTTTAGATTTTTGTCAGCTGTAACTATGGTATACTGAAGTATAATCACAAGCATTTTATAAGAGTTAAAGTCTTTTATCAACAATTACATTACGTTTATGCAAAGAGACAATATTTACAGGGTTGACCCTTTTATCAAGACCTTTGCAATTCGCCCTGGCATGCTGTCAATCAACTTCTGGGCCACATCCTGACTGATGGCAGCCCATACTTGCATAATAAATGCATGGAGATTGTCAGAGGTTTTTGTTTTCCCGCCCTTTTGAGGATTGACAAGTTTTCAATGGGATTAAGGTCTGAGGAGTTTCCTGGCCATGGACCCAAACTTTTGAGGTTTTGTTCCCCAAGCCACTTATTTGTCACTTTTGCCTTATGGCAAGGTGCTTCATCATGTCGGAAAGGCATTGTTCAAACTGTTCTTGGACAGTTGGGAGAAGTTGCTTTCGGAGGATGTTTTTGTACCATTCTTTATTCATGGCTGTGTTCTTCGGCAAAATTGTGAGCAAGCGCACTTGGCTGAGAAGCAACTCCACACGTGAACTGTTTAAGGATGCTTTATTGTTGGTACGACACAGGACTGATGGTAGCACTCACCATTTCTTCTCCGGAGGTTTTTTTCCCCAGATGCTTCAAACAATCAGAAAGGGGGTTCATCAGAAAAAAATGACTTTTCCCCAGTCATCGGCAGTCCATTCCCTGGATCTTTTGCAGCATATCAGTCTGTCCCGGATGTTTTTCCTGGAGAGAAGTGGCTTCTTTGCTGCCCTTCAACACCATGCCATCCTCCCAAAAGTCTTTGCCTCACTGTGCATGCAGATGCACTTACACCTGCCATTCCTGGGCAAGCTCTGCACTGGTGGTGCTCTGATCAAATTTAGGATATGGTCCTGGCGCTTGCTGGACATTCTTGGGTGCCCTAAAGACTTCTTCACAACAAATAAAACTTCTCTCCTTGAAGTTCTTGATGATCCTATAAATGGTTGATTTAGGTACAATCTTAGTAGCAGCAATATCCTTGCCTCTAAATCCTTTTTTGCGCAAAGCAATGATTACTGCACGTGTTTCCTTGCAGGTAAACATGGTTAACAGAGGAAAAACAATGATTTCAAGCACCACCCTCCTTTTAAAGCTTCCAGTCTATTATTGTAATTCAAACAGCATGACAGAGTGATCCCCAGCCTTGTCCTCCTCGACACTGACACATGTTAATGACAGAATCACTGACATGACAACAGCTGGTCCTTTTGTAGCGGGGCTGAAATGCAGTGGAAAGATTTTACTTATTTTTATTAGGTTAATTTTCATGGCAAAGAGGGACTTTGCAGTTAATTGCAATTCATCTGTTCACTCTTCATAACATTCTGGAGTATATGTAAATTGACACAAATATTAAATTTTCACAAAGTCTGCCTCAGTTTTTATAATGGCATTCTCAAAACTTTTGGCCAGGGCTGTACATACTAAGGTAGTAAAAAAAAGGAAAGGTCGTACATGTTTACCATCTCTTGTGAATGAACAGAATGATCTATATGCAGCACTTCCTGTTTTAGTGTTACTAAATGCAGGTGTGGCCGGAGTAGAACCTCTCTTATGAAATATCAAGGATCTGAACCCCTGAAATTTCTTTAAAGAAAAGAAACGGTTCTGTATTCACATCAGTGTGATGCAGGAATGTGACGAAAGCACTTGAAAACTGGTGTTGGTGCACTTCAGTGCCATTCACACATGCGATGCAGTGCACCACAGCACTTATTATTGGACAATGTGGTGCACTACGTTTCTAAAATAAAATTATATGCACCTTTTTAGTGTGATGAGTATTCAGCAGCCCATTTAGAGTTGGGTTTCCTTGACGCAATGCATGTTAATGCATATGAAAACAAGCATCAATGTGCACCAGTATGTTGCTACAACACATCACAGTGCTTATTTTTCTTTAAATTTTTTAAATTACATTAATTTATTGCTATGCAAAGCAGCATGTTGCAACTAATTGCCACACACGTAATGCACAGCATTGTCAAAATGTATGCTTGGGTCATTTTATCACATTGCACATGTAGCACTGAAGATCAATGCTACAACAGTGTAAAGCCAACCTCCAGATGCAAGTTGCTTAGAGTTTTGTGTAGCTTCGAATTTTCAGTTTCACAAAAAAGGGACATCTTAAAGTTGGTAAAGGTTTGTAGTTTAATAACGTAATACAGTTTTAGTTTTCATATTTAGTAGACATGAATAGGAATTTTGTAAGTTATGGTGATTGTGAGCACCAATAATTAAGTGTATTTTTTTTTTTAATTAAAATATAGTTTTGATAAACATTTGTGCAGCAGTACTTTCATGCAGGAATGTATGCATTGTCCCAAACAAACTGACCATACATCCGTATACTAAAGTACCACCCAGATGTGCATATATCAGTTAAGAGCTGCGGTGGATTTCGTCCTGTCAATCATTTTAACAGGCTGCTGGCAGCAGGCTGTACCTACACCTGTGACTACTGGGCAGAGAATTACACCTCAATGTGCACTGTTCTGCCCTACTGCATGCATGAAGATTAAAGCTGGCCATACACTATACAGTTTTCTCATTCAATTTCCTTCAGATCTACTTTCAATTTGTATGCAACCAGAAAGGCCTTTGCACTACATAGTTGAAAATTTTTAGGTCTGGCCTCGTTTTATATGAAGAGTCACTTTTGATAAAGGTGTTACACAAGAAAAAACACAAAACCCAAGCACACACAAAAAAAATGAGGGAGGGGTAGGGTGTTTTAACCCTTTAGCAGAATACTCACCTCAGATCCCGCGATGCGTTGTCACGGAGCTCCCCATTGGCCGCTGACATCTTCGGGCGTCCCGGCTTCTGGGTCCTGAATGCCTACCAAAATGATGTCAAATTCGGGGAGTTACATCAAATTCGGCATTGCCGAATTAATAAAGTGAGCTGCGTTTGTGTGGCTCACTGTACAGGTTTGGATAGGCAGGTAGGTAGCTTTAACGCAGAAGAGACAAAGCATTACAATTCCTGCCCGTCTGCCCATTTTTTACTTTGTCCTTAAAGTGGAAGTGTAGGTGAGCGACATTTCTTTACAGGTTGAATTGTAAATGGCCCACAATAAAAGTAAAAAGTACTCTCCTAGAAAGCAAAGCTTGCAGATAGATACTTACTCGTTTAGCTATACACAAAGTTCTCAATCCATCAACTGCATAACAGTTCAAGTAATTCTGAGTTTTGGCTTGAATTCTTCTTTGGTACTTTCCCACAGAATTGTCTAAATAAAAATAAACATATCACTAAACTGGTAACCCAGCACTGTTCTCAAGAAACAAAAAGGTTACAACATAAGTATTGTACAATTTATACCACACGGTCAGCTGCTTTAGATTTTAAGTTGCGTCAGAGTTCAAATGATTTAGCTGAAATGGCCATTGTAATGCAGCACTATTCGTACCAAAAGAATGTTACACATTGATGCTTTGGTCCAGCATTCTTTAATGTGTTACTAAACCCCGGACCCTGCATTCACTATATCCGGTTTCCCACAGTACACACAACATAGAAATGCAATTATTTTAGTAAATATAAACTGCTAAATACCTTTTCTCATCAGCAGTTAGAGCAGTGATTTCTATGAGTGTTAAGCAGAGCACTGGTTAAAGCTTGAAGGAGGAGTTTTCATGCTCCTCTCACTGTCCTATGAGGCTGCAGGACCCCTGATCCTCTGTCTGGACAGTGCTGATTGGCCCTGTGCTGATCACATGCACCCTCCCAAGAAAAAGAAATCAAGCAATACACACTAAACTGAGCATGTGCAGCTTGTTCTATCAGGAGATAGAATGGGGACTGTGGAAGAATGGGAGCATAACAGAAAAACAGGATCAAACATCTTTTACACAATCAAAATATATAAAACTTTTTCTTTTTTTTCCCAAATAAAAAATATGTCCGCCAATCCCACCTAACAAAAAGTGTCCAAAAAAATATATATATAGTGTCCCAAATGTCTCAATTATCAAAATAAATCTTCAAACAGGTAGATCATTAAATTCTTTCTTCTTCAAACTTGCAAATCCTGATGACAATTAAACCCTATGCAGGAAAATATAGGGCATCACATCACTCTGGGTTGCTATCTCTTCATTCAGATATCAGGCTTCCTCCAATCCTAAGATTATTCCTCCATTTCCCTCATGAGGAAATTCAGTTACCAATTGTGGATAAAAAAAACACAATTTTCTTTTATTTGCCAACTTACATTAAAATAAGGGTGAAGCAGCTCCTCCTCACAGGGATACAGATACAAACAAGTTTTAGGGAAACATTAGCCACATGTTCCCACTTCCAAGATGGCCGCGATCGCACTTCCGGTCAGCGTCGATACGTCTGACGTCACGTGTCTCTGACGCGTTTCGTCACTTCCTTTGACTTTATCTGAAGGGACCCTTCAGATAAAGTCAAAGGAAGTGACGAAACGCGTCAGAGACACGTGACGTCAGGACGTATCGACGCTGACCGGAAGTGCGATCGCGGCCATCTTGGAAGTGGGAACATGTGGCTAATGTTTCCCTAAAACTTGTTTGTATCTGTATCCCTGTGAGGAGGAGCTGCTTCACCCTTATTTTAATGTAAGTTGGCAAATAAAAGAAAATTGTGTTTTTATCCACGATTGGTAACTGTGAATTTCCTCATGAGGGAAATGGAGGAATAATCTTAGGATTGGAGGAAGCCTGATATCTGAATGAAGAGATAGCAACCCAGAGTGATGTGATGCCCTATATTTTCCTGCATAGGGTTTAATTGTCATCAGGATTTGCAAGTTTGAAGAAGAAAGAATTTAATGATCTACATGTTTGGAGATTTATTTTGATAATTGAGACATTTGGGACACTATATATATTTTTTTTGGACACTTTTTGTTAGGTGGGATTGGCGGACATATTTATTATTTGGGGAAAAAAAGAAAAAGTTTTATATATTTTGTCTGTTTGGCCTTCAAGGGTGGAGGTGGATAACTTTTTTGGGATATTGGATTGGGATTGTTTTTGCTGTGTATTTTCATATATCTTTTACACAATGCAGAGGATTAACCCTGTAAGTTCCACAGTATTATACAGGATTTAGAACAACAAGAATGCTTTACTACAGTTATATACACTTTAATTGAAGAGCTGTTTATGTAAACATAAATGACTTCATATCTATGGGTTCTGTATAAGAAAATTATTTTCTACATTAATTTCCAAATTGGTGTATTTTAAACCCAACTACACAGTGTAGTGCCTAATAGCTGAACCACTTGTCACCTGGGGCAATTTTGACATTTGTCACATACATGTTAAAATCACAATTTTTTGCTATAAAAATTACTTAGAACCACCAGACACATTTTCTGAAAACAAAGACCCCGAAGAATAAAATGGTGGCTGTCACAATTTTTTTCAACACAATATCTACACAGTCGTTTAACACAAACATGCTGGAAAACAAAAGAAAAAGTGCATACAAATACAAGATGTTGTAGTCTATGTGCATGGAGAACACCCCACTCCTGACCAGACCGGAGTGTGAATACAGGTGTAGGACGGCCTCAGCCAGCTCTGCTCCACAAACCATGGCCCTCTGACATGTTTAGCCGCCGGGGGCAAAACACGTCAGGGGGCATGATTCGCAGAGCAGAGCTGGCTGAGGCAGACCTACGTCTGTACTCACATTTCAGGTGGGTCGGGAGTGCGACGTTTTCCCATGCACATAGATGTCACTGTTGGCTAAGTGAGCCTATATGCTGGCACCCCTATTTTTAAGGAATGGGGGATTGAATTCTCTCCTTGCTTAGAGTGGATGATATGGGGCTGAGTAAATAAACATTGCCAAAATTGCGCATACCTGTGAAATGGCAACAAACTACAGTAGTTACAATTATCCATAAGCAGCCCTTTAACTCTAAACTGCAAACTTGTAAACATGAGCTCTGGTGCTAGAACTATTGTTCCAACTCTGACAACCACAAGCGTGCTGCAAACACTATTTACATAGGCATCCAGTGAGTACAGGGGGACAGGGGTGCTTTATGTTCTTTACACTTTTTAATTTTGCCATCACAAGGGATGATCTTGATATGACCACTGGAACAATGAGCAATAAACAGGACCCAACTGCAGAGAATATAGAGATTGGCTTAAAATAACTACAGGAAATAGACATGGAGACAGAAGAAACCAGACTTCTGCTCTCATTTATCTATTGCAGATCACAATATGAAATACAACACCAATTCCAAAAATCTACATAAAGACAGAATGCAAAGATCTGCAAATATCATAAACCCATATTTTATTCACAGAAGAAAAGCAATCAAATGTTTAAACTAAGAACATTTTAATTAAAAAAAAAACAAAAAACATTTGAAATTGTTGACAGCAACATGTCAAAAAAAAAAAAAAAAAAAAAAAAAAAAAAAAAAAAGCTGGGATTGGGATCATTTAAGATGATGGCATCATATATAATGTACAACAGTGTTCGTGCCAATCATGCATATAGACATTTTTTCTATTTATCATTTGTAGTTTTAACATGCAGCTTTGACACATTTAGTTGAATACAATGCAAAAATATTCTGCTAAATATCATAATTTGGTTTTGTAGGCAAGCCAATGGTTTACTGGCATTATTCCTGAAAAACAAAGAGCCCTGAAGCGAGGTGCAGATGTCCTTTTGGTTGGAGTATGGACAGCCTACATATTTTCCACATTGCCTTTTCCTGTACACCTGTATGTTTATTTTTTATGTATCAACATAGGAGACTGACTTTGATTTAAAAAAAATGTCCCTAGAATTTAAAATGAACAATGTAGCTCTATTACACTTTACAGATATCTGACTTTTAGACTAACCTATTGTAGGTTTTTTTTTCCCTCTTTCTCAGACAGAATGTAATTTGCAGGTTTTATGCTCTGGGAACTGCTTTAAAAGATAGGTCTCAGATGACTGAAATGGAATACATTTCCTCTAATTAATGCCTTATAAAAATAATGTTGAGTTACAGTAGTTTTTCTTATGGAATTAACAAAATACTATCTTTTGTGTGGCATGTTGTATGCCCAAACACATCTTAATTTGGAAAAAAGTTTAACAGTCAAGTGGATGGAGACCAATACAAATAGCACCAAGATTTCTGGAAAGGTAAGTGACTGCCATGTCTGCCAACTATGAAAACAATTTTGGTGTGAACCATACCAGGCCATATGCCCTCTTCAAACTTGAGAATTCCTGCAACTTCCCAGCATTATAATCTCTCTCCTTCAACTCCTCTGTGCATATGTGGTGCATAAAAGTAATGATTTGAAGTAAAAAAGGGAAATCTGCTACAAGCTAAGGATCTTTCCATGTGATAATGTTCCCATTACCGACAGACCCTTGTAAACAGCAGCCATATCAAATATTTTGTGTTTAACGAAAAAAATGACAGACCAGGGCTGACAACCATCAAAAAAAACAAAAAAACAAAAAAAACACTGATTTCTTACGCCCGTAAATGTCCGTAGACAGGAGAAACCTGTCCGTAAAAATACAGAGGCCGACTTCCCTTGTGTTTTACACAAGTGCTCTGCTGCTGCACACACTGTGCTCCACTGACCACTTATTGGTTGCTAGGACTGCCTGGCGTCTAACAACCAGTGACTTAATGCACAGGCCCCAGCATTCAGAGCTCAAGAAGATGCAACTTCTGCCTCCGGACCCATCACCTGCTCCACCTCCTACTGCTCTACTTCTTCCAGCTTCCGTCCTGCAGAGAAAGAATATGGGCTGGGAGTCTGAGGTGAGGCTAGGGGGCACTCTGGAGGAGGATCATCAAGGGGAACAATTCTGTTTGGTGGAGAATCAAAGGGGGGGGGGGGGCAATCTGTCTGGAGGAGGATCATCTAAGTAGGGGACACAGTCTGGAGGAGGATCATCAGTTCTTTAACCACTTGGTGACTGCCAGCCCGCATTTCACTGTGGGAGGACAGCTCGAACAGGCACAATCATGTACCTGTATGTCAGCAGTGGATTCCAGGTTCAGGGCATCCAAAGGACACAGCAGACAGCGGATCCTGGTAACCAGCCGCTATGAGCGGCCAGGATTTTGCATGACAACTATGCAATCACATGATCACCATATATAAAACACAACTGTTATGAATAGGTTAATTAACAGCTGTGATTGGACCACAGCTATGGGCCAATCACACCTGTTTAGAATGAACTCATTCCTGACAGTTCAAAACATCATCA